ATTGCTATGCTCAGCATTTGAAATCAATCAAGTTGAGTTTTAGCCTTAGAGTGAAAAATATAGTACATAACTTTTTAAGGTTATAATTTCTGCATTTATCCAATTCCAGGTCAACTAAATCCCATGAAATCTCTATTTTATTATATTTTTATTACAGAAAATGTCAAACTTATATGTAAGTATAAAGAGCATTGTAACAAACTCCCATGTATCCTAACATCTAGCTTCAATAATGATCAACTCATGGTCTTGTTTCACCTGTACCCATATTCGCTTCCACCATTTCCCCACTTCCACCCAGATTTATTTTGAAAACAAATCTCGGACCTCATGTCATTTCTTCTGTAAATATTTCAATATGTATATATTTAAATAGGGATTTCTTCTAAACACAACCACAGGGCCATCATTATACCTAAAAAAAGTCATTTCCTTAATATTCTCAAATATATAGTGTTCACATTTCCCTAACTGTTGTATACCTGTTTTGCTGTCACATACACACAAAAATATTTTGGTAATTTGTATTTATGCCATGTAATCAACAGCAAAGCAGTATTCTCTTTTGCCACTAGATGGTACTACTGCATAAATTGCAGGCATTCTTAAATGATCTAATTGGAAGAGACACACCTTGCCTTTCTTTGGGATATACATAGCCTAATGATTAGGAAACATGATTCAAGACTGTATAATGTATTCAAAGTCTAATAAGTGATTTTTTGGGGAAAGAACTATTGCTTTGGGTAAACTTTAAGCCAACACAGGAAGTGCCAATGTTTCCAAATGTCTTTTCACAAATCAATATTCTAAGAGAAAACAAACAGGTCATGGATCCTGCTTTTTAATAGCTTAAAGTCTCTGAAGGAAGAGATACATAAATAATTTCATTGTAAGGTTGTAATTGCTATACCACAGGCCCAATCCTAAAGAAATATGAGGATGGGTTAGCAAGGCTATCTTTAGAAGCCTGTGCTGAGTAATTATCAATTCATGATTGAATTCAAACATATCCAAGTGCCAATATTCACGATGTATAGTACATCACCTGTACAACTGGTCAACCTTATATTTCATTGTAGAAAATTAAGGGTCCGACTTCATTGTTACATGGAGAGACATTCCATTTCAGCATGAAGATGGATCTAAGCGTAGATTAAAATATCTTCAAAAAATGAATTTTGAATTTGCTCAAGTAATTAAACAAAAACTTTAAAAGCTATCTCAGAGCTCTATACTACAAAACAGACATCCAGATAGGCCCGCCAGGAGGATTTCTCTGCAAAATGTACCTCTAAGTAGATGAAAGAGTAGTCCTATTAGGGATCTTTAATTTTGTAGCTTTAAAACTTTTTAAAAACACATGTCATGTACAATTTTAGTTTCATTCTATTCATCAGTGTTAAAATACCAAACTACTCTCTTTTAACCTATTAGGTAATTAATCTGGCTGTTTTTAAAGTCACCTATAGTTTGTGGTAAGAAAAATGTTTGTTTATAATCTGCCTTATTTCTAAAAGGATTTGAGGTAGATACCTTGGAGATCTATCATTGCTGGGGACAGTTTTTACCACAGAAATAGGCAATTGGAACAAAAAATATTTAGAGACAGACATGAGTACAAAGGTTGAGCTGTTGTGATATTGAATATAAAAGGTAAAAGAAGAGCAAAAATAGTTCAGTGATACACAGAAGCTCGAAGAGAAAGGGAGACCTCAAAATGCATAGAAAAGGAACTCAGGAGAGAATAGAAAATGAATAAGAAATAGGAGTAGTGAACAGACAGGAGAATAGGGTCAAGAACCCAGATGTTAAAAGAGCCTAGGGGCAGAAATAACACAAAGCAGGAATATGCAGGAATTATTTTTTAAAAGGGAAGAAAGGCGGTAACAGTTTTATTGATGATCTCCGATTCTATAAAGTTATTAAATTCAGCAAGAAGAGAATCTACTTAAGTAACTAGAAATTAAAACAACTAAAGTTTTAACCTCGATTATTTTGAAATTGGAACATATTTTCACCAGTGCAGACTGAATATTTTATAACTCTTCTTGGAGGTTATCACAGCTTTTCAATGCTATTTGGCAAACCAATTTTAGGGCTTGAAGGTGCCATGGACATCACCTACGCTAGTGCAATGCTTGTATTCTTCAAACATGAAAACTTAAACTTAAGTCCAGAAGGGACTCCAAGGTGATGTAGTTCAGCTTGTGGCAACACCAGGAATAGGATCAGGTAGACTTTCACCACAACTCTACACACTAGGGCGCCCTGATTTTCTTGATTATCTATCAGTAAAGCACTTAAGTGGCAAGAAGATCTGAGACAGCTGGGGAGGAAGGCTATATTTAATAATTGAGATATATTCTAAAGTTATGAAGCTAGTTTCTATGTATTACATATAACACCCAGCCTCAGTATAGTGATGTTAATGTTTGTCTCTTATTTTTGGCTTAAAAATACCTTAAGAACTAACTATCTAGTCACTGAGATTTTACACTTGTTTTCTGTATATGGTTCACTGGATGAATTCAACATATTTTATTTGAAGGTATAAATGTTAATGTTCGTAAGAAAAGAGTTTACATATTACTGCTTAACTTAAAATAACACTTTTAAGTAAGGGAAGTGTCTAACCCCAAGTTTACAAGAGGGAACACTGAATAAAAATTGATACACTGCAATTAAAAGTCACAGTCTTGATACCTTCATATTAGATGCCTCAGTTTCCAGTTTTGTAAGATGATTGGAATTATCTTCTAGCTCTTGTCGAAGATTTGAGTTCTCCATCTTCAGTGCCTCAACTTGCTTTAACAACTGATCATATGAAGCTGCA